CATAAAATTACTGAAGAGTTTGGATGTAATTCTACATTTTTAGTTTTCTTCAACTATTGCAATGTTTACCATTTAACACTTTTTAAAAAGCTTGAATAACTAGAAGATGCGATAAGAATGCAAATCATGTATCACTGTAGATCGATATCTTTATTTGAACGGCTAGATTTAGTTCTTCTATTTATTCTGAAAACAAGGGAATATTAATGGTTAAGGAGTGGCTTCAATGTAAATGTGCTACACTTGCATTAGCTCAAGATCTGAGATTTTTGAAAGTCAAGTCCATCTCTTTATCTTTTCTAAATTCCTGAAAATATTTTTAAAAATACCGTCTCATGCATGTCTCTAGAACAATTTAATTTTCTGTGCAGGAATTGAGTTATCCACATCTACTAGTACTTCCATATCAAATGTATTTGAAAAGGTGTCCTTTGTTGATGCTGACCCAAGCTACAAGCCAGGGATTCCATACAGTGGGATGGTAAGACACACAGATTCATCCTCACATAGTAATGTCTTCTACATGAAATACGGTCTCTGACAAAAACAAAGCAATAATCTCAGTCACCCACTTACCTCTCTTACTCTTTGTGTAGCTGAAAGTAACAGATGTCACTGGGCTCCCCATTCCTGACAAAGAGATCTATGTCACCTGCACAAATAGAGAGCACGAGGAAAAATTAACACTGGTAACGGATAGTAATGGACATGCTACCTTCAAAATGAATGATACAGCCTCGTGGGGAGGACAAATTTCCATAACAGTAAGAACAAAACTATGGCATTTGTATTTGTAACTAACTTGAATCCTAGGAATTTTTCAACATTAAATCATTCCTCTATTGCAAAAAAATATTTGAAACACTTTAAATCCACAATGTTGACTTCAACGTGAAATGGAAGCATTTGCAAGAAGGGTAAAGTCACATCTTAATTTGTATCTTTATGCACTGTGTGCATATTACTGTAGGGTTACAGTGCAAGCACAATACTGTAGGAATCCACTGCATACACAATATTGTAAGATTAAACTGCATCTACAATACTGTAGAGTTACATTGCATGCATATTTTATGGGTTACAATGCATGTACTTTACTGTAGGGTGACACTGCATGTGCAATATCTGCAATGAATTGCAAGGGTAGCTACTGCTTTGATGCCACCATGTGGGTAGTCAATCTGTTGCACCTGGTGCGATGTGAATGGATGATATGCCTTCTCCTGTCTCTTGGCAGACTGACAGACTGCTTGAGACTTTTTGAAGCTATGAAAGTGTAATGATTCACAGATACAAGAGTACATGTAGTTACGTCAATCCATTAAAAACCCCTGTGACTTCCCACTCAGTAAATCTATGGAGGAGCCAGACTAAATAAGTGAACTGCTTACAACTTATCTCTAAGGTGGCCTTACAAGACACTACGTGTAATTATCCCTGATCTGGATATAGCTCACATGAAGGGGATCATCAGAGTGGAGCATTGTGAAGTAGACGTTAGGTGATAAAGCCAAAACCAAATGTGAGTTATAAAAGGTATTGCAATAATACTCAATGGTCAGTATATGGCTCCCAGTTAACACAGCTCACAGCACACAGCATCTGTAAAAAGAATGCATAGAAACACATAATTGTGCAGATTGTTTTACAGGAACATTGCTTTCAATATCATCACTAATGTAGAAAAAGATTCCCATGAAATTCCCCCAGTTGTAATAATGAGATCAGGTATCTAATATACAGTGATGGAACTCTGATAAAGCAAAGTATAAACAAATTTGTTGAAACTCTATTTTAAAAACTCAATAAACAAACTGTCTCTTACAAGAGAAAGTGGTGAGAAGGCTCGGCATATGCCGTTACTCACTGCCCAGCTTTGTGTTTAGTTCAGGAGTTGGAGACACTGGCTCTGCAAGGCTGTTGTGTCCCGGGTGTATTAATCCAATTTCAGTGCAGCCCAAGTAATACAGGCGTGATGCTTCCAAGAACTACAAACTCTTAAAGGTCATAGCAGTGACGTGTTTACATTATATCAAATAATCTCAGTGAATGCTATAGAGTAGACCAGCTGAGCCACTAGCTGAGCTACAACACCCTATTGAAAAATGGAGTATGCTCCTTCTTGATGCAAGAGGCTTAAGTTCCTTATGTTATGACTCTGTCATACAAAGCAATTTCCCGGGATTGTCCTCTTTAACTAAAGCATGTACATTGGAATTGCCTACTTCTATATCTGATGACCAATGGGTTGTAGCTTTGAGAGAATATAACTTGTTTATAAAATGTGCAAAACATGAGCTATCCTTCAAATTACTATTTCATTGGCATTTAACACTACGTAGATTAGCTCATTTGCACTGTAATGCAAGTCCCATAAGATGGAGTGTTTGTGGAGAGGAGAGCTCATACACTCATATGTAGTGGCATTATGCTGCAATATGCTTTAAAGTGCATTAAACACATAACAGGAATATCTCTTGATTTGATGATAGAAGTTGCACTTCTGAGAATGTTTCCTCCAGTGGAAGCCCGATTAGATAAAATGTTATGCAAATATACCTATTAAAACTGTGATAGCTGGTTTCCACTACGGACTTGGAGAAATCATTGCACTTGGAAAATGGGGTTCTGCATATATTTGATGAAATCTGGAAATGCAATGGGGACGCTGGACAGAAACTTCCAATCTATGCCTCATATAAATCAATGGCGCCATTATTATTTATTATTAATATTATTAATGGCTAGAGATGATTTATGCCTAGATATTGTCTGTTATGTGGGAGTGAATGAAATGGTATTGTTCACATATTTTTCTGAAGTGTTGTGCCTTACATTAGATTATAACTGATATTTTGCATAATTCTTCTCTAGTTGGAAACACTTTATAAAACCTTTGTGGAACACAAAACTGTTTGAGAGTGCTGTAGGGTTATTATTTTTTTTTTTTTTTTTTTTGTGGGGGTTAGTCATCATGTTTGTTTGCTTTTTTTAACACAGGCCAAGACACACTTGGAAGAAGCCCCATATAAAAGCAACATCATCCAACCACAATATGGTCATGCTTTCCTCTCCCTTCAACCGTTTTACTCTAAACGCTAAAAGCTAAAGTTCTACCTTGTGAGGGACAACAGGAAGTCCAAGTGGATTATATCATTACTCACACAGAACTGGATGCAGAGACTAAGAGTTTAAATGTACATTATCTGGTAAGAGCTTTGCCGTTGTGTCACACTGCAAAGGGAGAGGTGAATGGATTAGAATTGATCCTCACTGATACCTGTACGTTTTAATATGTAGGCAGTGTTTATAATTTTGTTTGTTTTCCTAAAATTATTTCCGAATATATTCCAGCTCTTCCTGGAATATATTCCAGTCACTTCAAAAAAAGAGTTATGTGATACAATATATTCTGAATATAACACTTTCAACTATTGGAAGTTGATATGAGAATGTGTTTTCCACCACAGATTTATATAGTTTAAAGGGATCTAAGTAAGCGCACAAGCTTCTTCTAAAACAAGTAATATATTTATGAATTCATTAAAATCATATATTATTTAATACACTGTAGTGTACTGAACACTATTTCATACTTTGGGGGTTAGTTAGGCACTTGGGGCCTGCCAGATAGTCATTATGGGTCCAGGAGACTAGTCTTCCAAGCCCTTTACAGTGAATCATTGAAAAGGTTGATTAGAACTTTGTTGCCCTGGCAGTTTATTGCATTTTTCAAACAACATTTGAATATATATTTAGACATATTTATTCTTTTCCCAGGTAGCTTCTAAAGCATCAATATGGAACTCTGGAACCATAGACATTCTGGTAGAAAGTGATAGCAGAGGTGAGAGATTTTCCAATTTAGTAGATTGGTGTAAACAATAATAAACATATAAGCCTTGAACTATTACACTATTGCTTGGTATACACTCATAACCTTCAACATGCTGTTTACCATTTTTGTCAGGTTTATACAAACACAGGTACTTTATCTGTTAGCAAACTACAATTGCCATGAAGCTTTTCCAGCCAGAAACACATCATGCATGTTTGTATTTTGTTAAAAGCTGCAAATGAAAAATATGGTATTAAAATATTCGATCATGTTACATTCCATCCATCAATTTATTAATACTTTTTTGTGAAATATTATTTTATTGAAAGCTCCTTGGATTCTTGCAGCTAAAGCATGTCTGATGCATAGAAAAATAATTTCAAATCTTTCTATAATACATTGCATTCTTTTCTTCCACAGAGCTGATGGGTACCACCTCTTTTAACCTCCCACTGAGCCCTGATGTGTCTCCAAATCTTACAGCCATAGTATATATCTTACTGCCAGATGGAGAGATTGTTGCCGACTCAGCCAAATTTACTGTCCAGAGATGCTTCAAGAATAAAGTAAGTTTGCGGAGATTTTTTTTTTCTCACAATGTAAAGAATGACAAAGGGAACATACAGAAAAAATGGGCGATAAGAAAAATAAAGATGGTAGTGGTATTTATTCAAAGGAACTCAATGGTGTCAGGAATATAAATGTGTATCCCTGCACTATAGTGTTAAAAACACATTTTGTGTGTAGTCAGACTCCCCCTGCACCCGACAATGAGTGTTCCTCTCATTCTGGGGATAGTCTAACAGACCAGACAGTCCCCCCTCTGCAAATTAGGCCCGTGCGGTCACATGGCCGCAATATGTGTCTAGGCATCTGCCTGCGGGGGGACTGCCTGAATCTACAGTCTCCCTATACTACCACCCGCGGATAGCGATAGCGATAGCGATAGCGATAGCGATAGCGATAGCGATAGCGATAGCGATAGCGATAGCGATAGCGATAGCGATAGCGATAGCGATAGCGATAGCGATAGCGATAGCGATAGCGATAGCGATAGCGATAGCGATAGCGATAGCGATAGCGATAGCGATAGCGATAGCGATAGCGATAGCGATAGCGATAGCGATAGCGATAGCGATAGCGATAGCGCGATAGCGATAGCGATAGCGATAGCGATAGCGATAGCGATAGCGATAGCGATAGCGATAGCGATAGCGATAGCGATAGCGATAGCGATAGCGATAGCGATAGCGATAGCGATAGCGATAGCGATAGCGATAGCGATAGCGATATAGCGATAGCGATAGCGATAGCGATAGCGATAGCGATAGCGATAGCGATAGCGATAGCGATAGCGATAGCGATAGCGATAGCGATAGCGATAGCGATAGCGATAGCGATAGCGATAGCGATAGCGATAGCGATAGCGATAGCGATAGCGATAGCGATTGCGATAGCGATAGCGATAGCGATAGCGATAGCGATAGCGATAGCGATAGCGATAGCGATAGCGATAGCGATAGCGATAGCGATAGCGATAGCGATAGCGATAGCGATAGCGATAGCGATAGCGATAGCGATAGCGATAGCGATAGCGATAGCGATAGCGATAGCGATAGCGATAGCGATAGCGATAGCGATAGCGATAGCGATAGCGATAGCGATAGCGATAGCGATAGCGATAGCGATAGCGATAGCGATAGCGATAGCGATAGCGATAGCGATAGCGATAGCGATAGCGATAGCGATAGCGATAGCTCCTATCCATGAGTGCATGAACCTGTGGTAACAGCAACAGTAATGGTTCAGTGATGTGAAATAGCGATAGCAAGGTTGGTTATTCTACCAAACATTGATTTCTGAACTCCACCTAAGTAAAAAAACAAGTATTGTGTTTTAAAATGAATACAAACTTGTGTTATTTGCATTAGTCAAGGTCTGGTAACACTTAATCGTTTTAAAATGGTGTTAGTAGTTGAAATAATAAAACAACAATTATAAATAGTAAAAGGAAATAAACTAATATTTTTTAAGTGGTCTTGTGATCTGTATATTGTTCTGTGTTACACATAAAAGAATCTTACTTGGATTTAATTTTTATTTAAAAAAAAAAAAAAACAAACAAAATAAAATCCATAATGTTTCTTCCTCCCTTGATGTTCTGTTTCTTTGTACATTCTATATGCTGATGAAAGGTTTTATTAAAAACTAAAATGTTGATTATAAAATTTACATTTTATACATTTTAAGAACCCCCAAGAAATATTTCTATTTTGAATGGATATTCTGTAGGGACAATTATGAGATAACAATATTAAAATATAATATTCTATAAAAGTCGTAAAAAACATAGAATTGTTTTATAAATATCAATTTTTTATTATTGCACTACTATTTTCAATTCTTTTGCACATGAATCACAACAAATTATACAAATAGAATTTTAATTGTGAAAATATAATACATATGTATAATAAAATAGAGTGAACGATTAGTATAAGTTGTGTTCGGGGCATTCTCATATGATATAGAATAAGATGGGTTGTAGAGATGTAGCTTTAGGAATAATCGGTTGAGGTGTGCCGAAACCGACGTATGCTCTAAGCCGGTAAAAAGTGGGCTTACATAGAGGAAATATGAACAATGGGAGTGGAGGGTGGGGCTATTCGTCTGACCAACAAAGGTAAGTAGGGAGAGGGGGGAGTCCCTTTTATAGGTCTATAGCCCCTCCCACAACTTCAGGCCATGCCTTCCAATTTGTGTTCGGGGCATTCTCATATGATATAGAATAAGATGGTTGTAGAGATGTAGCTTTAGGAATAATCGGTTGAGGTTTGCCGAAACCGACGTATGCTGTAAGCCGGTAAAAAGTGGGCAAAAAGACATATTAATGCAAAACATTATACAGGATCATAGTGCATTTGTTAACCATCAGTTAGACATTTTAATGAAAGCGTCCTAATTCCTGAATCGGCTGTGGTATGTACGTCGCATAAGCCTATGATTCCCAGCAGCCCCGTGTCTTAACGTGTGCGGGGATGTCTTGGCTATAGGCTGTGTAAGCTGCTCCTATCCTAAAGGAGTGCCCTGAGTAGTCGCTAGGGTTTAGTTCAAGCACGATGAATGAGTAGGTGGACATAGTGCATGAACTTACCTGTGGTAAGGACAGTATCGTACAGCGACAGTAATGGTTCAGTGGTGCGTATGGTGGCGTGCCCAAGAACGTAATCAGTACCTTAACCGGGCACCCAGCAGTGCTTGTAAGGTAGTAGGTTATATGCACTGGCTCGCCCCTCTGACTCATCTTAGTTTTAGGAAGGGACCGGACATAGTGGTCTGTGTGTTTTAGAAGATAAGAGGTCACCAGGCACTCTTGTTTATGATGTTGGCCGCTCATAGGGAGTTATTGTTTTGGCCTGAGAAAGCCGTTAAAGGCTAGATAGGTAGCAGTTTTGATAACTGCATTGGTGCGTGGCTCGGAAGTGCATGGTCGAGTGGTTCTGTCATGGTTTGAACATTGTATGTCTATGGCCAGTATTTAGTTTTAGCGGGAACGTCAACTTGGCCATGTCTCTAAGTAAGGTATGTATGGGGTAGGAGGATAGGAAGCCTTGTTGTTTGGGATGGAGAAATACGTATAGTGTTGAATGCCCGTGAGATAAAGTTTAACCGTGTTGTGCGAGAATTATTAACTTAAGGTGGCAAAAAAGAGGCGAAGGACATACGTGGTGAAACCTCAAACCAGCTATCTAAGTGATGGTCCGACATGAAGCGTATTGTATAAGTGGAAAACCCTGTAGCAAGCGTGTTGAGTGCTGGTGGACAAGGCCAGTTTAGTCAGAGCCCGGCTATGTTGGCGAGGTTCATGTAATCCATGACCTTGACCATAAATGACCCCCTGCCATGGCGGCTGTCACAATAATTTACCATTACGTGTGGTTAAGAAAGTCCACCATATGTGTAGGTCTGCCATGGCTTGGTTGTCTAGGGACAGCCCCTGATCATCATTCGGGAGGGAGGAAAAAGCAAAGTGGTCTGAGATGAAAGCGTGGCCTGCGGTACGATGTGCATGGCAAAATTTAAGGAACCTGATAGGGATTGTAGTTACATGTGGTTGCAAGTACCAAGCAGGAGGTGGTAATTGGTGTTGTTGTGACTGTTCCTATTTCTCGCGTGGTAACTTGTTGGTATGGATGCCGAGTCAAGTTGTATGCCCAGGAATGCAACGACAGTGTCTGGGTCTTCTGTGACCTTAGGGAATACTGGGACAGCCAAGTGTTCAGACATACTAATGGCTTCCTTGAAGCTTCTAGAGGGAAAGGCATTCCCTTTGACCAACAAGAAATCATCTCGGGAGTGTATGACTGTGGGGCATCTGGATATGTTTAACCACAACCAGTAAAGAGTTCAACGAATATATTGAAGATTGTGGGCTGCTCTTGACCCGAAAGTTAAGCGGGAGAAGAAATATATAACTGCTGCCCATAAATGCCTTGTAAGTGCCAGTGCAGGGTGGATGGTGGCAGTCTGAAATGCGTTTGTGATATCAGTTTTACTTAACCAGGCTTCCCCTCCCTGCTTGAGTGATAGTTGTCATGGTATGAACAATGGTGGCATACTGTAATGAAAACTCCACGGAGGGTATGAGGGAGTTGAGATTATGGGGTAGCCGAGGCGTGAGGTGCAGTTACAGTGTGAGGGAAGATTCCCTGTGACAATCCCAATGGGATTGCGCCACACTGTAAATGGTGTAGATCGGAGAGGCCCAGGTAGAAATCTTTCTGCCATTTCTTGGGCCATGAGTGTAATGCCAGCTGTTGGATGCTGCTGTGATGACTGCAAGTTAGGGCATTCTAGATTCCCCCAAAAGTTTAGGAAATAAACTAAATGTCTGGAAGGGTGATAAGTTAGAAAGTACTGGAAATGCATAATGTTTACAGACGAGAAGTAAGGTTCAGGGTACATTTATTGGGACACATGGTTTTGCATGTGCCCTGACATATTGGGAACATATCTGCAACAGTCTGCATGCACTGAAACTACATGTGCCAACATGGAAATTGTTGCAAATCTGGGATTTGCCAAAGAGAATGAGACGACCCAATTTGTCTCTGGTAGTTTGCTACGTCCTACCAGAGGTGCTAGAGCCTGGAGCCTGAAACGTTATCGTCCGCTGTGTTGGGGCAAAATTGTCCTGTGGGACTAGCAACATCTCCAAGTGAAAGTGTGTTGACTCTAGCTGGAGTGTTAGGTAGAGAGAAATCCTTACCACGTGCTTGATACATACTAAAAATCATGAAGATAGCCATTATTATATGAACCCACAGTGTGCTAGTACTGGCTTGCTAGCTAAAGCCGCAAGGCGAAACAATTAATCATTTGTTTGGTGACAGGTGAGGCCCTGCTAGTTGCCAAGTGGCTTGAGAGGCTCTATCTATGCAATGGCGCGAGGGGATTTTTGTGGCCACCAAGCGTAGTGGCAGGATGTTGGCCTCTCGGTGACTGTAACCATAAAAAAGGGGAAGGGAGTGACAGGTGAGGCCCTCTCTATATACCATGCGAGGCGGCTAGCTCACGAGTGGCCCGATGGGTGTTTGCCTCCAAGCGTTGAGGCAGGGTGTTGGCCTCGCGGGACCACTATACGACAGGCGTAGATGCCAAGAAAAGAAAATATCTATTGGAAACCTATAGTCCCTAATTGCCAGTACGCTAAGGATATACCCAGGGGGAAACAGAAAATGTATGTATATACCACATGAGCAGGTGTATGTACCTGGTAGTATGATTAGATACCCTTACTGGTCGTAAAGGTTATTAATACCTGTATCCCAGACGGGTAAAACAATGTATGAAAATCGGATATAGACATTTAAAAGCGTATATCCATATGTGTGTTATGCAAGTTTAATAGAGCAAAGTGCTCTGTCCCAATATTTATTGTATGCTTGTGATGCCCCTGTTTGAAGGAAATTAACTTGTCGGGAGTGTTATATCATGTGTGATATGGAACACAACTGTACCCCGAAACATGAGTGTAGTGAACCATGACTGGCAGCTGAATAACCTAATAAGTGAAAATACATAATTGGAAGGACTTATATTTTAAGCGTGCAAATATTCTGTATTAGACTCTGGAATCCTGCATAGTGCTTTAAATAGTATGTGCATTCTTGGGTAAATGTATGCGTATTGTCAGTAAATGTAACTAAATGCCTATGAAGGCAGGTATGCAGGAATGTTTATATCATAGTAAGCATGATTTATAAGGAAGTGTTATTGTGTAATTATAATTTATAGTGGGAATGTTATGAGGGGAATAACCATATGTCTGAAAAGCCTGTAGTATACCGTTTGACAGATATGAGTCAGTATAAAAGTGAAAATGCTGTAGTTAGTTTGTTTGCTTATGAAGTGAAATAAAGTCTGAGAAGCCTGTAGTACACTGAATGACCGGTAAGGGTCAGCATGTAGGCGAAAATGCCGTGGTTCGTTGGTTTGTACATGAAATGCAATAATGTCTGAGAAGCCTGTAGTTACACCAAATGACTGGTAGGGGTCAGTGTCTTGGTGAAAATGCAGTGAAAATGCAGTGGTTTGTACATGAAATGCAAAAGCTTCTAAGAAGCCTATAGTACACCGAATGACCGATAGGGGTCAGTGTCCAGGTGAAAATGCAGTGGTTTGTTGGTTTGTACATGAAATGCAATAATATCTGAGAAGCCTGTAGTACACTGAATGACTGGTAGGGGTCAGTGTGTAGGTTAAAATGCAGTGGTTAATTGGTTTGTACATGAAATGCAAAAACGTCTAAGAAGCCTGTAGTACACCGAATGACCGGTAGGGGTCAGTGTGTAGGCGCAAATGCAGTGGTTCGTTGGTTTGTACATGAAATGCAATAATATCTGAGAAGCCTGTAGTACACCGAATGACCGATAGGGGTCAGTGTGTAGGCGCAAATGCAGTGGTTCGTTGGTTTGTAGATGAAATGCAATAGTGTCTGAGATGCCTGTAGTACACCGAATGACCGGTAGGGGTCAGTGTCTAGGTGAAAATGCAGTGGTTCGTTGGTTTGTACATAAAAAGCGATAATGTCTAAGAAGCCTGTAGTACACCGAATGACCGGTAGGGGTCAGTGTGTAGGCGCAAATGCAGTGGTTCGTACATGAAATGCAATAGTGTCTGAGATGCCTGTAGTTACACCAAATGACTGGTAGGGGTCAGTGTCTTGGTGAAAATGCAGTGATTTGTACATGAAATGCAAAAACGTCTAAGAAACCTGTAGTACACCGATGACCGATAGGGGTCAGTGTGTAGGCCCAAATGCAGTGGTTTGTACATGAAATGCAATAATATCTGAGAAGCCTGTACTACATTGAATGACCGATAGGGGTCAGTGTGTAGGCAAAAAAATTGTATATCGTTTGTAGTTTTAACCCAACAGATTTTTAACCAAAACAGATTTTAAACAACAGATTTTACATAAACAGCTAGGTGAGTATAAGGTAACGAAATAACCGTGCAAAACGAAAGGGAACCGTAAAGTGAGGACCCGTGCTGTGTTGAACGCCGTGGGAACTAATCCTGGCGCGACAGGTGGGTCAACTTACGGTTTGAGAGTCCCTGAGACACCAAATGCGATGCTGACCGGAGAGAAAGCCACTGGATTAACGGAAATCCCTGCTGCAGGATTCCTGGACACAGCTTGGAGTAGGAGACCTCATGGAGCAAAGGTGAAACCAAAATGGCGTCTTGTATGACCTGGAAGTGGCTCTCATGCAAATGCTGACCTTGAACAGTCTATTCGTCTGCACAACAAAGGTAAGTAGGGAGAGGGGGGGGAGTCCCTTTTATAGGTCTATAGCCCCTCCCACAACTTCAGGCCATGCCTTCCAATATGTGGCATTATAATGTGATTTCAATGAGTAAAACCAGTCAATATATAATTCCTAAAATGAGCAATGCCATCTAGATAATAAACATTGAAGTCCCTCCAGAAATTAACAGCAGGCAGTTTACAAATGGTACAATGGTATACAAATGGTACAACTGTATCTTTCACTGTTTCAATCCTGGCCATTAACATTGACAGTTTCACCATCCAGAGCAAAAAAAAAAACAACAGTTTACAAGCAGGGCCGGTGCATGGATTTTTAACTACACAGGCGAATATGTTAGAAAAACCTCAAAGAAACGTTTTCCCTTTTAAAATATTTTAAGATGAGATAAATACATTTTTACCAAATCTTTAGAAGGAACAGATTTGTAACTTGTCTCTTTAAGAACTGAAAGGAAAAACTGTATCTTTAAGTGTGGAGTGTTTGTGCGTGTGCAGATCGTTCGGTAGAACGCTGAGCCATTGGCGCCATTTTTTAAGATTTGTTTGTGCCAAACTATGAGAACACGGTTTTAAACGAACTGATGCTAAGCTGGGAATCCCATTGAAAAGAAACTAACGCCACTCAAAGAAACAAATGAATTAGGGAATACTTAACAAAATGCAAGGCTTACCTATAAGCAAGCATGTTCAAACCCCCGAATGAAAGAATTTCTCCGAACTAGTAAGTACATGAAAGATGAAAAATTATAATAGAAAAACTCCCAAATGAAAGAGAGTCTATCTCCCAGATTGCCTCTAGGTTCTGTTTGGGGAAATATAAGGCTTCTGATATTTCTATGGAGCCGTAGTCCTCAGATCTCAAATCACTAATTTTGAATCTGACCCAGTTAGTCCTGCTCATGCATTCTGTTTACTGGGTCCTTCAGGCACAGAGAGGCTGAATTGTTCCTTGAGAAACACATGGTGCACATAGGAAGATGGCTGAGAAAATTAAGAGGTTGTAAAATTATACATGTCTGTCCAATTAAGGACAGAAAAAAAAGGTATGAAAGGAGGAGGACCTTTCATGTATTCACACTCTCTCTCTTTCTCTCTTTTTATTTATTGGTTGATTCTCTCCTGATCTGGTTAGGGGCAGAGCTACCCATAAGTGTAAAATACCTGTTAAAAAAAAACAGCTTTCTATTAAAAAAATACACAATATGGATGCTATGTGGTTGCAATCTGGCCAACACTTTGATTTACTTAAAAATCATTTAACAATCATATTGTAACAACATGATTCTTAGCCAATATGTCTAACAATTAATGTCTATCATCTGCTGGATACAAGCACCATACCAAACACTTATTTTAGCACTTTAGTGCAATCCCTTTGACAGGAGGGCTGGTAGGGTGAGGGGGTGGCAAGGTGACAGGTGGGGTGGCAGGGTGACAGATGGGGTGACAGGATGGCAGGGTGACAGATGTGCTGGGCTGGGGTGACAGGGTGACAGATGGGGTGACAGGTGGGGTGACATTTGGGGGCAACAGGGTGACAGATAGGAGTAGATGGGGTGACAGAATTGGTGTTGACGAAATGGGGTGACTGGTGGGGTAGCAGGGTGACAGATGGGGAGTGACAGGGTGGCAGGGTGACATTTGGCAGGAGTGACAGATGGGGTGGCTGGAAGTGGGGTGGCTTGAATAGAATTTGACATTTCGTGTGGTGACATAGGGTGAGGGGGTGGTAGGTTGACAGATGGGGGTGACAGTGGGAGAGCATGTGGGTGACAGATGGGGTGAAACAGGGTGAGGGTGACAGGTGGGAGTGGCAGGGTGACAGGTGGGGTGGCAGGGTGACAGGGTGACAGGTGGGGTGGCAGGGTGACAGGTGGGGTGGCAGGGTGAGGGGGGTGACAGGTACCTTTTTCCCTGGTGGTCCAGTGGTGGCAGACTCCCTGGTGGTCCAGTGGGCTCTCCGGTCTGCAGCTCTGCCGGATGCAGAGCTGCAGACCACGTGGTGAATGTCTCGCGGTCTCCAGTCAGAGCGTTGCCGTGGTAACCCGCGGCAACACTCTGATTGGCTGGAGATCGCGAGACACTTCAGTCTGCAGCTCACACCCGGTGGAGCTGCAGACTGAAGGCTGGCTCTCCCGGGCAGACTGACAGGAGGGGCCTCGCACCCAGCGGCATACCGGGCAAGCCGCCGGGTCCCCTCCTGTGTCGGGTCCTCGAGGACCCGACATGTCAGTCTGCCCTATGGCGGTTTAGGCGAGGCCCCACACAGCGCGAGGCCTTAGGCGGCCGCCTAAACCGCCTAATTAGAGAGCCGCCTCTGCCCTTCATCAAGTTCCCTGCCCCCTTTTCAAAACCCCAGCCCCCCTTCACCAGTCCCCTGCCCACCTTCACCAGTCCCCTTTACCAATCCCCTGCCCCCTTCATCAAAACCCCAACCCCCCTCTTACCAGTCCCCTGCCCCCTTCACCAGCTCCCCTTCACCAGTCCCTGCCCTCTTCACCAGTCCCCAGCCCAGTAAAAAAAAAAAAAAAAGCAATTAAAGGCTGCTGCTCCCTGGATCGAGCAGTCAGTTTACCACACTAGGAAGCAATGTAAACACTGCCTTTTCTCTAAAAAGTCAGTGTTAACATTGAAAAGCCTGCAGGGACAGGCTATAGACACCAGAGCCACTACATTAAGCTGTGTGTGTGCGCGCCGGCTAGTGAGTGGGCTTGCTTGTGTGTGTGTGTGTGTGTGTGTGTGTGTGTACGCCTGCTACTGAGTGAGCTTGTGTTTTTATGTCAATGACCTTATGTATTTCAGTGAGATTGTTTGTCTGTGAGGTTGTGTATCAATCTGCTTGTGTCAGTGAGATTGTCTGTGTCTGCATGTGAGTATGCTTACTGTATAATTAAAAATTTTACTCTGAAAGGACCGAAATATATATAGATATCAATCATCTAGGGTGACAAGACATAGCCTTACATTCCATGCGACAATATATGGTGCAATGACTTATGGGGCTGGCATAGATTCTTTTTCCAGGGCTGCTTTGGAAACCCCAGTCCGGCCCTGGCCATTAGATATAAGCCCAGTTGCCACATCAAGGCAAAACTCGTAGGTGAGTCCTACACTAACAATTTGCCTTGCTTCCTTCAGTTTCAGGGAAAAAAGTGTCTAATGAGACAGAGAGGGGTAATTTTCTAGACTCCTAGATACTTATTAACCCTTAATAGGAAACACATGCTGTGTGGCAGCATTGTAACATGGCTGTGTGATACAAAAGCAAATACACAGAAATTAGTCCTGCGCTCAGACTATTGGCACATATATCATTCAGCCCTCTCTCCTTTGAAGGCTTTTCCTGTACATTTACACATGACATCTTTGACACTCCTCGGTCAGGCACAGAACGTTGCACACATTCGCATTGTTCCGTCTCCCAACCAGGTCGTCCTCTCACAAATCTCACATAGTCCCTAAAACACTCCTGGTTCAGGCACCTCAGATATTCTTGGCTTATACATTGGATGCATACACTTATCTTGCCCTGACTCCTGATGAGTTATTTCACTTGCATTTTCACATAGCATCTCAGATAATCCTGGCTCTTGCACAGATAGGCACATGCACTCATCCTGCCCTACCGCCTAGTGAAGTTGTTTTTGCACACTCCCACATGGCACTGCAGACACCTC